TTCGAAAATGGTCATTAGCCTTTAAGGAAATTTAAGTTCGATTATATATGTTCTAATGTTACCACCATGTTTATGCCCGATTTAATCAATCCCACTTATTTTTTCATGTTTAAACGGTAACGCTTGCTAATATTTACATATGATGAGTTTTTTTAATTACAAGCGTTGAGTTCTTATTTCATTTGGAAAGAAAACAATATGTATCCAGCCTCCATCTATTGCTGTTATATTGAGAAAGAATGATAAGCGGATAAAGGAGTGTCAAAAACTGAGATATTATCTTTTATAGAAGAAATTTTGATGGATATTTGGTCTGGTTAGCCCTCCTTGATGTATGTGTTTTAATCTGTTAAAATTAGTACGATAGTGCATACCCTGATTCACTAGCTCCAAGGAGAAACTCAAAATGACTTAATTGTATATTCGTCTTTTATCCTTGATAATTTTAGTCTCCTTTTGCTGGATACTCAAACTTTCAGATGTACGATTTGTTGGATACTCAAACTTTCGGATGCATACATGTAGTCTGTTACTTTTTAGCTATTTGATTAATTTTTTACTTTTGGTGTACCGTCTTCTGTTTCTTTTAATAGAAATGAACAACTTTTAATGCTACCATTAGGTATTTAAATTGTTTTAGTGCCTCTAATTGTTGATGTTGGTTGAGCTCTTAAGAGTGAAGAATTAAGAAACCCTAAATAGCAAGATGCTAAAACCAACAAAGTAGTATCTTCATCCAACTATAGGATAAGAACGGGCAAAAGGAATTAATTTAGGTTGGGTTTGTTATTTGTTTTATGCCATGTGTGTGTCTATTGGGTTTAAGATATCTGTTTGTATGCTTAATTTGGTGAAAATACGAATTCCTTTCTTATGTATCCCTTTCAGATTGTGCATTTACCCATGCACCTGATGTTGGATTTGAAAACAAGTTTCTTGTTGCACACCAAATGCTTGAACAAGATATCTGAAATTTCATTCCAATAATAAACGTTTGCTGATTTTTGGCTGTTTTACTGTTTAATGACAGGTTGTTGTTTGATTTCAAAGGGTTATCCATCAAATCATGCAAGTCGCTTAAAATCATGATTGAAAGCTCTTAAACGCAACTTTGGGTAGCTATCATCTCCTGTGATCCAGATGTAATGAATGATTAGGCTACATCTCAGGTCATAAATGTACTCTCAACAATAAACCCAATTTAAATAAAGAATCCTATGTTTTTAACCAAATGGAAATTGGATTCAAGAACCTGAATGAATAGAACTCAAGAAATAGAAAAGATGCATCTTCAAAAGGCAAAGATAATAAATTACATCAGTCAATATAAAGGTAACAAGAATAAAAAAAAACAGCTAGATTTAACAACTTCTGTTCCAAATTCACGTAATGGTTGACTCTTTAGTGTTTTTAGGAAAAAGGTAACAATGATTCAAATGTGAAGAGAGAGAAGAGAACAGAGGAGGATACAATTGGTTAAGCAGAAAAGAAACCAATGCTTCCTGATCTACTTAAAGATTATAAAGCCTATATTAATGTTGGAGCAAGAAAAGGTCGATAGTCATAGACGATTTATAATTAGAATCTAATTTTATTTTTTCATCAACTATCTCACATCATATTAGTTTACTATCATCTTTTACAAAATTCCAAGATTCAAACAAGGAATATGTTCCATTGTGAGAGGTACATGTTTGAATTGTTGTTAATTTTTTTCATTCTTTTTAGGTTACTAAGAAATTATAATCATTTGGGTTTTTATATCTATTGGTAGTTTATGAATGTGGTGTTGTGGATGTGAATGAGGGGTGGGGTGAGATGGGATGGATGTGGCAGGTGTGATGTTTCTATCAGTTTTGGGAACCAAAAGAGGATTATCTTGCAAATTTCTATCGAAAGAAACTAATAAATGAGTTGTTATTTCTTATAGGTGGTTCAAATGTTGAAACTCCAATTCGTACAACGGTCATTTACAAATTCTATACTTATTTCCTCTAAAAATTCTACTAGAACCATTACAACCTCCAATTTCTTCACCACCCTGATTCTTATTTTCTTTAAGATAACAGAATATTAACAAAATTTGAAATGGCGTTATAGTTATTTTGTTGTTTGATGTTATAGGATCAAATTTTTTTGGGTCAAAGTAATTAGTTCATTGGTATTATGTTAAGCTCTTCACACTTCAAAATTTTATCTACAAATATCATTCCATCTGTAAAGTGTAGTTATACCCCTTAATATTCTATTATTGGGAGCAAGAAAAAAATTGAAATAAAAACTCAAAATCTTGTTAGAAAACGTATCTCTACCAAAATCATTTAAAAATAGCTTACTAACAAATTTATCAGCGCCGTGATTATCATGACCATATAAGTTTCCTGGTGTGTGTATATATATATATATATATATATATATATATATATATATATATATATATATATAAGTATTTTATCACAAGTTAATATTAAGTCTCTTTCTAATTTGAGTAACTATTATTAGGGCTGTAAATGAACCAAACGTTTGACAAACCGTTTGTAGTTCGTTCGGTAAAATGTTCGTTTATGTTTGTTTATATAATAAACAAACAAACACAAACAAAATTTTATGTTTGTTTAGTTAAACAAACAAACATGAACAATGGTCTCGTTCGTTTATTTAAGTTCGTGAACGTTCGTTAATATTTGTTAATATATATATATATATATATATATATATATATATATATATATATATATATATATATATATATATAAGGTATACTAAAATTTAAATCCGTGTGAATCGTCAATCACAATCATATAGTAACATAGAATAACATATAATTCTTAACTATTAAATACACAAACGATGAAAATTAGAAAAACAATGAAGGTTGGTAAAATTAGAAAAACATCTTAAGAAACAAACACAAACAATGTAATTTTTAAACAAACATAAACAAGAAAACATGTTTGTTTAAGCGTTCGTGTTCGTTTGTTAGTTAGGTTAAACCTAAACAAACAAACATGAACAAGTCTTGTTCGTGTTTGTTTGGTTCGTTTACAACCTTAACTATTATATATATATATATATATATATATATATATATATATATATATATATATATATATATATATATATAACTCATAAGTCTTTTATCACAAGTTAATATTAAGTCTCTTTCTAATTTGAGTAACTATTTTTAAAATACAATATAACAAACAAGAAAAAAAGAGAAAACTTGGATATTATCACTTACATCCTACTTTGAGTAATTCAGTTTGACCGACACCAATTTATCTGCTCCTATAAAATAAATCAAATGGGCTTTACATTTTTTTGTTTTAAAATAAATATTGTTAAAGTTAAAGCTATTTTAATATTATTTATTTACGCTTGGTTAGTGATTACAAGAAATAAACAAAGATTGTCAAAATCGCGATCTCGATCGTATGATTGTACGATCCTAGGATCCTAGGTATTAAAAATGAGTCGGATCGTATACGGACTGTATTCAGGGTAGGATCGTAGGTAAGATCGTAAGATCGAGATCTGATCCGATCCTACCTTCCCTTGACTTTTTTTTTAAATGAAAAAAATGAATTTACTTTTTTATGTCTTTTACCCTGTACTAGTTTACTGTTTATCATTTTGTATTGTGAGTTGTGACTAATATTTTGAAGTTTTATTTATAGATTTTGAATGGAAATCTGAATGTTGAGATATTTTGAATGTTTTAAAATTAAAAGTTAAAATTATGTTTTTTGTTTTTTTGTAGAATCTTAAGATCTCAATTCCGATCTTGCAAATCCAAAAAAGATCATACATAGGATCCTGAACTTGACGACATTTTATATGAACGGAAAACTGAATGTTTGAGATATTTTGAATGTTTTTTTTTTTTTTTTTTTTTTTTTTTTTTTTTTTTTTTTTTTTTGTAGAATCTTAAGATCTTAATCCCGATCTTACAAATCTAAAAAAGATCATACATAGGATCCTGAACTTGATAACATTTTATATGAAAAATACGAATTTTACTTTATAGTATTAATTATTTTTAAAATAGTTTTAAAATATTTAGCCAATATTCAAACTTCTTAATGAAACCAAAATCCTTTTTTTCTTTTGAAAATTGGTTTTGCAATTTTGATTGACTAGCTTTAAAATTGTTATCATAAATGTCTTTCAATCTTAAGTTGCGGGTTTAATCTTATTGTAGACGAAAATATAATTTAAAAGTAGAATAGAGTATATGTTTGCCTTTCTATATATATATATATATATATATATATATATATATATATATATATATATATATATATATATATATATATATATATATATAAAGTTTCATATATATTCGAACTAATTTATCTATAGAAGTTTCTAGTATTTTTATTAGAAAATTTAATAGCATCTAACATAATTAAATTTGGGATGTCTTATTGACGAAGAAAGCTTTACTTCCGTATGGCCGATGGGCTATCGTGATTTCAATATAAAAGTAACTAGAAAAAGAAAGGGTAGATAAGTAAATTAATTATCGATACAGTCGATACAATTAAAGTCATAAATTTCAAGGGTAGATAACCGCCCTTGTCATTCAATGTTGTTGGCAAGCTCTTAAACATTTAATATATATAATGAGAGGGCATGTTCGGCAGACCAGAAAATTAGTTTTTCAGAATGAATTGGGTTATATTAAAAATTGTTTATATAATTTTTTACAAATTAGTTTTTTTAACAGCTGTCGAGTAAGTTGGACAAAGAAATAACAGCAAGCCCGACGTAAAAAAAATAAATTAACTTTGGTTATCTTTGGTTATAATATAGGAAGAATAGATTATAGAAAGAAATCGGATAACAAAAACTCATACTTCTACTCAAACTAGTAGATCTTTCATTATTGATAAGATGATACATCATAAAGTGAAATTCATAAAAAAAGATTACTTGCGTGCTATATATATATAATGTAAACTTCATTATATTTAATTATTATTGTGCAAAACACTTACTCAAACCTCCTTGACTTGGGTTTCCTTAGCCACATCCCCTTCAACCACTTTAGCATCCTTTGCCACACCCACATCTTTCTTCACATCCTCAACTTGAAAAGCCGAAACTGGAAAAGTTCTGTATAAGCCAGAAGTGGCCTGGAAACTGATCTTATCAGGGTTGGATTCATTAACAGTTATATCACTAAGTGTGATCCACAGCATAAGCTCCTTAGTCTTAACACCCGTAAGTTTCTTGATCTTGCCCTTCTCTATGGTCGCCGTTACTTCTGTTCCATATGATACAAGCTTCCCGATTTTTTCAAACTTGTGTTTCTTCTCTTTCTTTTGTTTAAGCCACACAAAGCCGGTGTCTTTCACATAACCACATTCCTCGATGTCTTCTAAAGGCAAGAGACCATTGGGAAGTGACATCTCTGTGAGCAGAAACTTAGATTTTTCTTGACAAATTGCATCCCCATGGTAGACTTCTGAAGCAGATGCTCTAATTTCGTCTGTCACAAGAGACATTTTTTGTTTAATTTGGATTGGGAATTTGGTTTTATAGATCTTTGTTTGTTCTTGCGGTGTGGGATGAATGTATGGAAAGGGGTTATGCTTCTTATATAATTCGATCCATGTATAATTGGTCAAGGTCCATGTCGTAATTACGAGTATGCCATTGTAGAATTATTTTCTAGATATGCTTGAGAAAAAGAAAAAAAAGAAAAAGAAAAAGTAAAACAAAGGTCCATTTAAAACACTAAAACTAGCCTGAGGGTTTTTGTCTTTTTGATAGAATTGACTTTTCTTCTGTAATCATATATTTTCAGTTTTGAGGTTCTTAACAAACTCCATGTTTATAACATGTTAGCATAACAATAACTTTTAAAGCCAAAGATTAAATTATAAAAATATTTATAATTTCAAGTAAAAGCCTCAATTTTAATGGAAAAACTGTATTTTGCCCTACATCTAATAACAAAGTCATAAGTTTTTTCGTAACGGTGGAGTCACGTCTTGCATCATGACACGCGTGATAACGTCCTTCAGAACATTTTATATATATATATATATATATATATATATATATATATATATATATATATATATATATATATATATATATATATAACTCAAAAGTAATTAATCAATAGTTTATATTATTTATATTACGTCTCTTTCTAATTTGAGTAACTATTTTTAAAACACAATATAACAAACAAGAAAAAAAATAAAAAACTTGGATATTGTCACTTTCATCCTACTTTGAGAAATTCAGTTTGACCGACATCAATTTATCTACTCCTAAAAAAAATCAAATGGGCTTACATTTTGTTGTTTTAAAATAAATATTGTTAAAGTTAAAATAATTCATATTTCATTTTTGATTTATCTCAAAATAATAGTATACTTCTATAAATAAATATACTTTTTATCAAAATATCCCTCATCTACCATGATATTAAATGCAACCGAAAGGTACAATTGTAATTTTATTTAATAAATTTAATGATAATTTATGTTTTCTTAATCTGTGTATTTTTTGTCTGTGTACAATAATTTTAGAATGGAATAAGTATTATTATATACGCTTGTTTAGTCATTACAAGCAATGAACAAAGGTTGTAAAAATGGCAATATTGATCATAGGATCGTACGATCGTATGATACTAGGTATGAAAAATGAGTCGAATCGTATATGAATTATATTCAGGGTAGGATCTTAGGTAAGATAGTATGATCGAGATCAGATCCGATCTTACATTTCCTTGATTTAAAAAAAATGAATTTATCTTTTATATTTTTTATAATTTACCAGTTTACTATTTATTATTTTGTATTGTAAGTTGTGATTAATGTTTTGAAGTTTTTTTTTATAGATTTTGAACGTAAAACGGAGTTTTTGAGATATTTTTCATGTTTTAAAGTTAAAAGTTAAATTATGTTTTTTGTTTTTTTTAGGAACTTAAGATCCTAAGCCCAATCTTGCAAATCTAAAAATGATCGTACGTAGATCCCGATTTTGAAACTTTGATATGAAAAATACAAATTCTACTTTACAGTGTTTATTATTTTTAAAAGAGTTTTAAAATATTTAGCCAATATTCAAACTTCTTAATGAAACTAATTTTTTTTTTTCTTTTGAAAATTTGTTTTCCAATCTTGGTTGACTATCTTTAAGAATGTTATCATAGGCTTGTAATTTAACGGCATTAAATATTGGTGTCTGGTGAAAGATCTTCAGTTGTGGGTTTAAATCTTACACGAAAATATAATTTAGAAATAGAATAGAGTATATGTTTGCGTTTCTAAATTTTTTTTTAAAGCTTCATATATATTCGAACTAATTTATCTATAGAAGTTTCTAATATTTTTACTAGAACATTTAATAACATCTAACATAATTAAATTTGGGATGTCTTATTGACGAAGAAAGCTTTACTTCCATATGGCCGATGGGCTATCGTGTTTTCAATATAAAAGTAACTAGAAAAAGAAAGGGTAGATAAGTAAATTAATTATCGATACAGTCGATACAATTAAAGTCATAAATTTCAAGGGGTGGGCAAGTAGGTGTTAGGGCCAACCGATAACCGCCCTTGTCATTCAATGTAGTTGGCAAGCTCTTAAACATTTAAGATATATAATGAGAGGGCAAGTTGGGCAGACCAGAAAATTAGTTTTTTAGAATGAGTTGGGTTATATTAAAAAATGTTTATATAATTTTTTACAAATTAGTTTTTTTAACAGCTGTCGAATAAGTTGGACAAAGAAATAACAGTGAGCCAGATGTAAATTTTTTTTTTTTTTTTAAACTGCTAGAGAATTTTTTATTACCTTGTAGTACTAGCAAGTTTCTAGACAAGAAAATACAAGTGAGCCAGCAACTCGAAATGAAGATTGATGTGATTTGTTGGTTGGGAAATGTTATTCAGAAAATGCATTGAACAAGGCTCAAATCTGCACCATATACGAATCTGTTCCCAAACTGTCTTCATCAAGTTACATGTGACAAGTAAATGGTCTGGAATGATTTTCTCCGAAGCTCCACAATGCTTAGCAAGTTGTGTATTTGACAATCACATATTGTTTTAATTAAAACAGTTTGTGATTATCAAAAGTGATGTTACTATTTGATAGTGCTGTTAATTTAGTTTGGAAATTCTTTTCAATGCTGCCCTCCAACAAAAATAATTTGTTTTTATTGATAACCAACTGTTCCAGTAATATTGATATTGTGATTATCAAAGAGTGATGTTACTATTTGGTAGTGCTGTTACTTTAGTGTGGAAATCCTTTTTAATTGTTGCCCTCCAACAAAAATAATTTGTTTTTATTGGTACCCAACTGTTCCAGTAATATTGATATGAGTCTAAAGTAAAATAAAGATTTTCAAGTAACACATGACAAGTAATCTTTTAATAGTGCTGTTATTTTAGTGTGGAAATCCTTTCCAATGTTACCCTCCAACCAAAACAATTTGTTTTTATTGGTATCCAATTGTTCTAGTAATGTTGATACCGGTCTAAAGTAAAGATTTTCAACTTGATTGGCATCCTCAGTGACTGAACTGTAAATTCATCAGAGGGATCACACACCCGTATACAGTTTTTAGAGAGATTTATTTGATTGAAGTAAATGCATTTTTTCAATTCATTTAACTTAACACCGATCCCCGACCATTGCCATTGCCAAAAAATTGTTGTGTCTATCTTCCACAATGCATGTTTCGTTTGGAGACAATGAGCCCGGAGCCCCCCCTTCTAGACTGGTTATCATTCCTGAAAGAAAAAAGATTTTCACGACCCACCTTATTTTTAAATACATAATTCAATTGATATCATGAAGTCTCACTTTACCGGTTAAGAATTCTACTTTCTACAATCGAGCATAAGCCCTCTTCTACTTAACTTTCTCCCGTTGTAGCTTTACGTCCTCCTTTTGACCCCATAATTATAACACCCAATTCAAGGTATTTTTCATCTTGGACCCTTGGTGTGTAATTAGTTTGCAATTTTGGTCCTTAGGGGCATTATTGGAATTTTTAGGAGGAGAGTGCGTACCCTGGGCGTACCTCCTGTCCACTGGGCGCACGTAATCAGAGGACAAACCCTAGTTTTAGGGTTTGGACCTTATTTAAGCAACCTTATGTCTTAAGGTTCTCTCATTTCCGAGTCTCAATTACCCTTTTGAGCCTCATTTCGAAACCCTAGCTCATCTAGAGAGATTTGATCGCCTTTATGTGTGTTTTAATGGGTGTTTGATGAATCTTAAAGAAGAAGAAGCTTGGAGAATGAGCACTAATTAAGAGGAGCTAGTAGATCTAGATTCCACTCATCATTTTCAGTTCCATAAAGGTATAAAGCCTAGAACTTGCTCATTCTATGCTTACATCTAGCAATCGTAGCTTCCAAAAAGCTGCTGTCGAACTCTGACACGTCCATTAGATAAGTGATCATATAATCCTGTGATCTACAAGATATTGTGTGGACAAAGACATTGAATTAAATTCATACTTATTGTCTAACATTTTGTTTCCCGATTTCCGATTTGTTTGACATAGAACTTAATTGAACACATCAATAGAGTTCTGACCAGGGTGACACGTAAGTCAAGACACAATCATCAAGGGGTCCAAGATATCGCTTTTAATCCTCTTAGGATAAAAGGAATGGATAAACTTCAACTTATATGCTTGTGATACCTATTCATTGAATCATACATAATAGCACATTTTATAACATTAAGTTACTGATGCAGTTTCGCACTATTAATGTACAACTAATAAATAATCGCCAACTCATATATCTTGGTCTGAAGACTATACGATACTATCGTCTCACAATCACATGTGATAAATTCCATGAAGTGATTCATGTGAGTGTGGGTTTAGTCCAATACTTAAATCTTATTTCAAGAGCACTCATGAATGTTTGTAGCAATCTTTTGCTATGTCTAACACCTTAGCCAATCTTACAAAAATCCATTCATGACAGTCTACTTTCATAACCTACATCCAAAGTATGATCGAATGTGGATAGTTTGAATAATCTTATTATTCTGGAAGTCAAAACATGCAAAAATGAAACAATAGTAAATAATTGACACAAAACAGTAACTTTACTTATAAATATAACTCATTTTATTTAATCATCAAATGTCAATTACATTTTAGTTATTACAAGTTTCTAAATGTCTATCTAATCATTTAAACTAATATCTTCTGTAACGCCTGGGTTTTCAGGGCTAAGCATTTTTGTCAATGTAATAGTCTAGGTCAACTATTGTAACTCTTTTTGAAGTAATAAATATGAAATATTTGAGTATTATGTGAATTATGTGTGTTTATGTGTTTATTATTTAATTATAAATGTATAATTAATAAAGAATAAAAATGAGCGTCAAAATTAAAGTGTGAGATAATCCCGATATCTCTACATAAAGTTGTAGAATATGTCTCAAGGTTTCCGTGCATATAAAGAATGCCGAAATCCGAGCTATAAAGAAGAAGTTATGGCCCGCCGAAG